GCACGATAAAGTGGCTATTCACTGTGCTTCCAAGACTTTCTTGAAGCATACGTAACAGATTGCACCTTTCTGATCATCCAGTCCCGTACTACCAAGGAGACATTCGACGAACAAACACCGACCAAGTGCATTCACTCACAAATTCCTCTTTGATTTTCTTTGTCCGTTTTTCTGTTTTCTTTTTTCCCGATCCTTTCCCGTGGAATTTGTGACTCAACTGTCGGAACGCTTCTTTTGCATTCAATTGACGGCCCAGTTCGTCCACGTATTCAAGCTTGACATCCGGTTTGAAGTTTTTCAACTCCTTGAATTCTGACAGTGGACCAGAGTATCGATCGCGTTTAGCAAACTTGGCATCGATATCATCATATCTGATGTCCTCTTGCACAAAGTGTTTCGCCATCAGATTGACCATTGTCCCAGTGCCGACCTGTGGGAATGGGCGTGAACAAGACAAAAGCATTAGACCTGACAGTATGCGTCGAACAGGACGACTTTCACGAGAATAGAAATATGTGTTTCGGGCATAATCTCCGGTCATAACGAATGTGATAGCTGTAAGCTTCGAGGAAATGGTGAAAATAGGCATACTGGACGTGAAATTTGCTAATTTTTGTTGGCCAAAATTTTTACATTCCTCTAGAAACAAATTTCCATTATTTCTGTTTTCATCCCCATCTTCACATACCAACTTTAACAATGAATTGTCGAAAGGAAATATTTTTCTTCCCCGTATATTATCAAGAGCTGCAAATTCTGTGAATAAATACATCGGTCATGGTAATGGTGCCGTGGTACAAAGTTCAGTGCGAGGGAATCGGGCTCGGGCAGTTCCATTCTGATGGTTTATCACACGATGATCTGTGTTCAGACCGAAATGATGGGACTGATTGGAACTGTTTAGCACAAAACAGATAAGATGGACTTTTCATTTGATGCACGCGAATTGGGATGAGATTTATTTACAAAGCTGGTCAACATTCAAAATCAGCATTCGAATGCAACGACAGCCATCCATGTATTTTTAGAGTGACTTGACTTAAATAACAGCAACGGGTGCTGAATTAAGCACTGATCAGTGATATCCATCGAAAATGATCGTGAGCGAAACGAGTGACGAATCTGCTACATCAACATCAAAAGCTCACATCCATCAAAGGAAAATTGTTTTCATTTTGGTGTACTGGTGTACTTTGCAATGATTTTAAGGAACCAAACGATTAATTCAGATAACCAACTTGTCACAACCGATGAGTCGACGAAACGATTACAAAAAGACAGCGAGAAGTAAAAAGTGATAAACATATAGCGATCTGTCACGAAAAAAGCTAAACTACATACAGTTTCAGTTTCCGTTCAGTTTGTACAACTATTGGCCATGTACTTTCGATAGTCGGTTTCGATTATCTTTTGGCTGCCCAGTTGTATGAACAGTAGGAGAAAGAAAAGAAAGTTGAAAGTAGGGTCGAAGAGAAAATGGAGAATTTCACTAGATTAGTGTTGTCAAAAAAAGAGAAGATGCACGAACGCCATTGATTACGACACTCGCCCATATCACTCAGTGCCACTGGCCATTGATTATAATGATCCCCAGGTACCCAGTCGGGGAGCCTAACGGAGCCTATGTGACCCAGTCCCCTGGTTAGGGTTTCCATACCCTAGTGCCAAGTCTTAGCTTGACGATCCTTGACTTTTCCACCAGCTACCTGTCTCGGCAAACATCGCTCGCCGAGGTACCCCATTTGGTGACATGCGTAACACAAGCCCCAACCAATGTAATGTATGGAGTTTAACCTCTTGCTCCTGTGGACGATCAGGAATTCCTAAAACTCTACGCCTAACCTCGGCATTACTTGTCTGGTTGCGCCATCAGATTCGTGCAACGCTGCGTAGATAGCGGAGTTCAAACACCGACAGTTTATCTTTATCCTGTGTTCGTGATGACCAAGTTTCTGCACCGTATAACAGGATTTACCGAACTGCTGCGGTATACACCCGACGCTTCATAGACCGTCGGATGACGCGACGGCACCACAGATGTCTCAAGTTAGCAAATGCCAATCGAGTCTTCTGCGTGTGAGCTTCCCAAACAATAGAACTTGTCCACTTGGTTTATTACTCCCCTAGTTAGAGTGAGACTGGGTGCTGGGCCAATCCAGTACCCTAGCAACGTTTAACACTTTGAAAGTGCAAAACGAACATGGATAAATTAGAACTCAAACTATTCAGAAGAGCTTGGAACTGAGCTGGATCGTTACTTAGGAGCACAATGTCATCTGCAAATCTGACAGTTTGCCACCTGGGAGTAAATCGATACCGCTATCCTCGCATGAGGATAGGGCTATTTCCATAATCAAATATATGACAAAGTTAAACAGAAAAGGAGAGAGGGGACAAACCTGACGAACACCACTTTCCATGGTTAACTCGGGCGGAAGTTTACTGTAAGCTCGGATTCAGCTTTGGCTATTGGTATAAAGGGATAGTAATATTGAAATAAACTTCTCGGGCACACCCTTCAGGGAAAGACAGCGCAGAGTTGAGAGCGGTCGATTCAGTCGAAAGCCGCTTTCAACTTGAAGAAGACAGAGATGGTGGGTCTACGAAAAGAATGTCAATGCTTCAGAATTTGGCGAAGAGTGAAGATGTGGTCGATACAACCTCGACCAGGTATAAAACCAATCTGGTTCTCACGCGTGCACCGTTCACTTGCGGTAGACAATCGACGGAGTATGATGCCAGCAAGAAGTTTAGAGACAATATTGAATAAACTATTTTCTCTGTGGTTTTCACATACGCCTATAAACATCAAGCAATCCACCTTGCATCTCCAGATTATTTCGATTTTTGCAACAATCTTCGATGATGCTTTAAAATTGTATTTGATTTGTTTTGCTACCGAGAGAAGCCATCAGTAAAACGATGGGGGAATGAATTTAGCGGAAAAACGGAAAAGATCGTCGAATTTGGAGCATAAAGGTGTTTTCTTCCCGGATGAATCAAACGGGAAATGAGTTACTACTTGTATAATATTGAAGAATATACTGGTTGTTCCGATGATCTTAAATGGATGCAAGAGGAAAGGCCCAAAGATTACTGTCGACTGAAAGGGGGCACTGGATATTATTTGGACGACTCATTCCGACATACCTTGGTTTTAACAATAAGCGATCTCAGGCGAAGCAAATGGAGCGGGATTAACGAATGCCATAACGTTTCATATAAACTGTTTTTAGCCCCGAGCCCAGCCAATCCCGAGGGCGCAATCACGGAAATTGCACTCCTATTCACATTATTCCAATTTGTCGATCAGGTGTTTTTCACTACTTCGACAACATGACACGAACGAGTTGGCGGAGAAAACCATATGCATATATGAGACAAGTTCAAATACATCGTGATCGGTCTTGAACAAGTATATATATCCAGAACGGTTGCCGGAATTCTCGTAATAAGATTGGAAATTTATACCAAAGGCTTCTATTTGATACCTCGCTATCAGAAGACACCTGTCGTGAGATTGACAAGTACGCCAAGAAAGCTGTTGGGGCATAATTGTGAATTTTTAACCGATTGGTAGCTCAATTATCTCTATTTGTAGTGAGGGGCGTCAAATTTGTTTTTGGCATGACACTATCATTTACGAACGCAACTGCGCGCGCAACACCGCTATCGATACCATACAGGATGAGCAAAACTCGTTTCATATAACAGAGAGCACTGGTAGCACAGAAACTCACGCGTTTCTCTTGTCCCTTTTCAATGTATCCTTTTTTCTCGGCTAGCTTGAGCGCAGACATCAGGCCGGAATTCAAACACGGTTCGTCGTCCAATACCCCAGTGAGATATGTGTCATCATCTGCATTGTTCGACGTGGACGGACGAGGTGTTTTTGTCGTGCCCAGACGACGTCGCCCCGGGCTGTCCTCCCCCACAGTTTGCCATCGATCTGAAGCAGATGGTAGATAATAGAATAATTGTAAGTGAAGGCAGACTGAATCAGTGATTGTATGAAATAAACAACAGAAGCACCACAAATATCCCCTGGTAATGAGTGACTCATTTTAGTTCAATCTAGGAAGATGTGGGATAGGATAGAGGTGGTATTTCGTTTGCTGATATCAACGTTGTCAGCTAACTGAAACAACCGTTTGAGGGAAGGAAATGAACATATTCCGGTAATAAGGTAGCCTCATTTGAGGTGTAAAGAGTAGAAGGAGGAGGCGGCCCATCAAAGGACTGCCATGGGGAAAGTCAAGCGGTGGTGGCATTTGAACACACGTCCACCGAGGTGGTAATTGGGTGAGCTTACCACCAGGCCACCACCGCCCAGATTCGAACGACACCAGTGTTCAAACACCGACAGTCTGTCTTTATCCTGATTTCTTCATGGCCACGTTTTTGCGCCATATAGCAGAACTGGAGGAACTGCTGCAGCATACGCTTGACCCTTGACAGACAGCCGGATGTCGCGACGGTGCAATAGATGTTTCAAGTTGACAAACACCAACCGAGCTTTCTGTATGAGCTGACACTTCATCCGTGATGCGTCCATCGGGTGAGATCTAGCAGTCCAAATAACAAAACTCATCCACTTGCTCTATTATTTACCCAGTTAGAGCGAGGCTGGGTGCTGGACCAATCCAGTCTTGTAGTAACATTTTACACTTTGAAGGTGCAAAACGCATACCGAACATGGCTACAGTGGCATTCAAGTCATCCAGAAATGCTTGCAACTTACCTGAATTTTCACTTAGTAGCACAATGTCGTCTGCATATTCTAGGACACACAGCCTTCCACCTGGGAGTAAATCGATACCGCTATTCTCGCATGAGGATAGGGCTGTTTCCATAATCAAATATATAACAAAGTTAAATAGACAAGGAGAGACAGAAGGCAACCCTGACGAACACCACTTTCCGTGGTGAACTCGGGCGAAAGAGTGCCGTAAGTTCGGACTCGACTTCGGCTATTAGTATAAAGGGATAGTATTATTGAAATTAACTTCTTGGGTACATCCTTCAGGGAAAGGTAGTGCCAGAGTTTAGAGCGGTCGACTGAGTCTCAAGCCGTTTTCCGATCCAGGAAGACAGAGATGGTGGGTATACGAAAAGAATACCGGTACTCCAGAGTTCGGCGGAGAGTGAAGATGTGGTCGATACAACCTAGACCGGGCCTGGTTCTCACGCGTGCACCGTTTACGTGCGGCAGACAATCGGCGGAGAATGATCCCAGTGAGAAGTTAACAGACGATGTTGGTTAAACTAATTCATCTATGGTTTTCACAAGAGGATTTATCACCTTTCTTGTAAATCGGTATGATCACCGACTCACACCATTCAGCTGGAACCTCTTCCCGATCCCATATTGAACCCAGGAGTTTTGTCAACTCCAAGACTAACGCTGAGCCTCCATCCTTAGACGCTGATGGGAACAGCCCATCGGAGCCAGAGGCCTTATGCCTTTTGAGATAACTTATTTCCCGGGAAAACCTCCAGTTCAGATGGAGGACTGATGCCAACTGGGAGTATTTGTCCAGGGTGAAAGACAAGATGTTAATGGGGGCCAGTTGAACTGAACCGCGAAATGTTCAGCCCAACGGTCAAGACGGCGTTACTGATGG